GTTTCTTTCAGTCAGGTTGTGATGAAAGAGCTGGCAAGAGATTTTCTTTCAGACAGGTTGTGATGAGAGAGCTGGCAAGAGATTGAGTTTCTTTCAGGCAGGTTGTGATGAGAGAGCTGGCAAGAGATTGAGTTTCTTTCAGGCAGGTTGTGATGAGAGAACTGCCAAGAGAGAGATTGAGTTTCTTTCAGGCAGGTTGTGATGGGAGAGCTGGCAAGAGATTGAGTTTCTTTCAGGCAGGTTGTGATGGGAGAGCTGGCAAGAGATTGAGTTTCTTTCAGGCAGGCTGTGATGAGAGAGCTGGCAAGAGATTGAGTTTCTTTCAGGCAGGTTGTGATGGGAGAGCTGGCAAGAGATTGAGTTTCTTTCAGGCAGGTTGTGATGAGAGAGCTGGCAAGAGATTGAGTTTCTTTCAGGCAGGTTGTGATGAGAGAGCTGGCAAGAGATTGAGTTTCTTTCAGGCAGGTTGTGATGGGAGAGCTGGCAAGAGATTGAGTTTCTTTCAGGCAGGTTGTGATGAGAAAGCTGGCAAGAGATTGAGTTTCTTTCAGGCAGGTTGTGATGAGAGAGCTGGCAAGAGATTGAGTTTCTTTCAGGCAGGTTGTGATGGGAGAGCTGGCAAGAGATTGAGTTTCTTTCAGGCAGGTTGTGATGAGAGAGCTGGCAAGAGATTGAGTTTCTTTCAGGCAGGTTGTGATGAGAGAGCTGGCAAGAGAGAGATTGAGTTTCTTTCAGGCAGGTTGTGATGAGAGAGCTGGCAAGAGATTGAGTTTCTTTCAGGCAGGTTGTGATGAGAGAGCTGGCAAGAGATTGAGTTTCTTTCAGGCAGGTTGTGATGAGAGAGCTGGCAAGAGATTGAGTTTCTTTCAGGCAGGTTGTGATGAGAGAGCTGGCAAGAGATTGAGTTTCTTTCAGGCAGGTTGTGATGAGAGAACTGCCAAGAGAGAGAGATTGAGTTTCTTTCAGGCAGGTTGTGATGAGAGAACTGCCAAGAGAGAGATTGAGTTTCTTTCAGGCAGGTTGTGATGGGAGAGCTGGCGAGAGATTGAGTTTCTTTCAGGCAGGTTGTGATGAGAGAGCTGGCAAGAGATTGAGTTTCTTTCAGGCAGGTTGTGATGGGAGAGCTGGCAAGAGATTGAGTTTCTTTCAGGCAGGTTGTGATGGGAGAGCTGGCAAGAGATTGAGTTTCTTTCAGGCAGGTTTTGATGGTAGAGCTGGCAAGAGATTTTCTTTCAGGCAGGTTGTGATGAGAGAGCTGGCAAGAGATTGAGTTTCTTTCAGGCAGGTTGTGATGAGAGAGCTGGCAAGAGATTTTCTTTCAGGCAGGTTGTGATGAGAGAGCTGGCAAGAGATTTTCTTTCAGGCAGGTTGTGATGAGAGAGCTGGCAAGAGATTGAGTTTCTTTCAGGCAGGTTGTGATGAGAGAATTGCCAAGAGAGAGATTGAGTTTCTTTCAGGCAGGTTGTGATGGGAGAGCTGGCAAGAGATTGAGTTTCTTTCAGGCAGGTTGTGATGAGAGAATTGCCAAGAGAGAGATTGAGTTTCTTTCAGGCAGGTTGTGATGAGAGAGCTGGCGAGAGATTGAGTTTCTTTCAGGCAGGTTGTGATGAGAGAGCTGGCGAGAGATTGAGTTTCTTTCAGGCAGGTTGTGATGAGAGAGCTGGCGAGAGATTGAGTTTCTTTCAGGCAGGTTGTGATGATAACAATATTCTACAAAACACCTTCTGCATGGTGATCATCTTCAATATTAGCTGAAAAAAAAAAAAGTTTGGAGTCTTTATTTTACTAATGTCCCAGTTACTTGAAACATTTTAGCTGTCACGTGGGCCATGCAAGTTTCAAAAACGTTATGAGGAAACTTGAGCAGTCAAAGAAAGAAACTTTAATATGGTCAGAAAATGTTATCCAACCTGACCATACGATTGCGAGAAAAACTTGCTGAAAATAAATGAAAATAAACATGCAATTCTCAGACGGGAAAGTTGAAAATAAACAAGCAATTCTAGAATTAAAAAGTTGGAAAAAAAAAACCAAGCAATTCAAGGACAGTAATTGTCACTCAGCATTTGACATTCTTTTCTGGCTGCTATGTCATGAAAATTAGTTCTGTGTCATTTGTGTCATGTCCAAGGATATCCAGGTTTCATTTCTTATTTGAAAATTAAATTTGTTGTATTTTTGTCATTTGATATTTACATTTTTGCTGGAGCTAGACAAAGTTGTTTTTTTTTTAGTCTGACATGTCATATGAACCGAAGGATTTTTACCCTGACATAACATGTGAGCTGTCTACTGAAGATTGCCCCCAGGAAATTGTTGTCTGAGTTTTTTTTTTTTTTTAATTATTATTTGTAATCATGTCTGCATATTTATTTTAACTTTTTTTCCTTTTGGTGATATCTGTGTTCTATCATATTTGTGCCCCCTTGTTTTTGGGCTCATGGCTATTTGGGAATTTCTGTGAGTTTTCAATTACATCCAAATAAAAATTAGAAGATTGTAAAGTTATTACTAGACCAGCGAATATAAACAAGAATAATCATAAGAAAGAGGAAGAAACTGAGAATCCAACAAAATAAAGATATCAAGATGTTTAGAGTTGCAGGATTTTACCGGGTCGCACATAAAAACTACAAAACCTAAAACAGTCTATGGGGCGTGTCAAAAGAAAAGATTTGATACAGAAATTATCTTTATATTAGGAGAACACTAGAAGACAGAATGATATATGTAGGAAACTTAAACAGCATAATGATATGAGGTATGGTTTTTGAGAGGTTGCAAGGAATATCATGGGGTTGTAGAACAACAAATATGGCAGTCCTACCCGAGACCAAGGAAAACATAAACTTGTTAGAAAAATTACAAGTAGACATTTTTTTCCTGGTGGAAAATGTGTGAGAAGGAATGGATTCAAGAACTTGGTTACCGCTGATACAATTGATGGAGAAAAGAGCAAAGGGAAAGGTAGAATGATACATATCTGAACGGCTAAGCAAAATGAATGGGGGCAGGACAAGAACACTGGCCTGATCCGCGGTTGTCGTGTCATGTGAGATAAGAAAACATGTCGGTCTACATTTATTGGCATGGCACATCATGATGATGATATGCTGCGCAAGATCACCTTCAGCAGAATAGTAAGATGACAGAGAAGATGGAAGTGTCTTGGTTGCCGATATCTTCTGCAGATCAGAAGATGACAGAGAAGATGGAAGTGTCTCGGTTGCCGATATCTGCTGCAGATCAGAAGATGACAGAGAAGATGGAAGTGTCTCGGTTGCCGATATCTTCTGCAGATCAGAAGATGACAGAGAAGATGGAAGTGTCTTGGTTGCCGATATCTGCTGCAGATCAGAAGATGACAGAGAAGATGGATGTGTCTCGGTTGCCGATATCTGCTGCAGATCAGAGGGGTCTGCATGGCCATGTAGTTTAGCTGCTCGAGGAAAGGAAAGAATTGGACACACAAATTGACCCAGCCAAACCAGCAGACAAAACCAAACTTAATAAAAGCTTATAAAATGTAATTGACCATTTTCAGGCCAGTGATATATCAGGGAATGATAATACTAGACTTGTAGTTTAGTAGATCAATTAGCACTTGATGATGGCAACATCACACCAGCTGCCTTTACTTCCCAGGAATTTACCTAGTACTCATTTTAGACTGGGTCAACCTGGAAGCCCTGGTCAGTTTTAAATAAAATCGGACTTTCTGCGGATTTGAACTAAAAGATATTCAGGTTGACAAAGCAAGCACTACGTGCCTCATTCTGAAGATCTAATGTTTGGTTTTGGATCCTTTCGATTCAAGGGTTGATGGATTTTCCTTCGATTCAAGGGTTGATGGATTTTCCTTCGATTCAAGGATTGATGGATTTTCCTTCAAATCAGAAGTTTATGGATTTTCCTTCGATTCAAGGGTTGATGGATTTTCCTTCGATTAAGGGGTTGATGGATTTTCCTTCGATTCAAGAGTTGATGGATTCTCCTTCAAATCAGAAGTTGATGAATTTTCCTTTGATTCAAGGGTTGATGGATTTTCCTTCAAATTAGAAGTTTGTGAATTTTCCTTCAATTCAAGGGTTCTCGGATTTTCCTTCGATTCAAGGGTTGATGGATTTTCCTTCAAATTAGAAGTTTGTGAATTTTCCTTCAATTCAAGGGTTCTCGGATTTTCCTTCGATTCAAGGGTTGATGGATTTTCCTTTGATTCAAGGGCTCTCGGATTTTCCTTTGATTCAAGGGTTGACATAATCTCTTTTGATTCAAGGGTTCTCGGATTTTCCTTTGATTCAAGGGTTGACAGATTTTTCTTCGATTCAAGGGTTCTCTGATTTCCTTTGATTCAAAAGTTGAAGATTTTTCTTTGATTTAGGGGTTCTCGGATTTTCCTTTAATTTAAGCATTCACAGATTTTCCTTTGATTCAAGTGAGTCATGGATTTTCCTTTAATTGAAGGGTTCACCGAATTTCCTTCAATTCAAGGGTATACAGGGTGTCAGGTTGTCTTGTCCACAATTACATCAGCGCACATGTGTGTTCTGTACTACACGACAAAACAGCTTTTTATGACCCCAAAGCGTCTAGAACTGGCCCTAATCCAAACCGCACCCACCCACAGCCTAAGCCCAGGAGAGAGTTTTCGAAGAAAACAGTCTAATGTGACCCTCTGACGTAGACCAACCGGAGCAAGCATAAATGAATGGTCAGCAAGTGTGTAATTAGGCCGGACTCCATAAATAGGACCACAGAGGCAGCTCGTAGCTCACATAAATGGAATTGCTGCTTCATTGTAACTTTCCCATTTAGAGACAGACAACTGTAGTAACTGCAGTTCTGTAGTGCCTGCACACAAGCTGCCGCTGATGGTGTCGGTTCTGCAACATCCTGTAACGGGTACTTATGTTTTTAATATTAGTCTTCTGATGAGCAAGCTGGCATGACATGTTACTGCATTGTGTGATTTCAAATTCATGTGTTGTTTCCTTTGACAGCTTCGCTGCCTCCCAGTCCCGACAGTGGCCTGGATAGTGAACTGGATTCCAGCTCCACAGAGGATGTCAAGCACAAGCAACAAGGTTCTTTTATTTTTACTTTCATGTCTCTGTTGTCCCTGTGAGGTTACAGGGCCCATTCTTAGGGACGAATGAATAGATCTCTGTTGTCCCTGTGAGGTTACAGGGCCCATTCTTAGGGATGAATGAATAGATCTCTGTTGTCCCTGTGAGGTTACAGGGCCCATTCTTAGGGACGAATGAATAGATCTCTGTTGTCCTTGTGAGGTTACAGGGCTCATTCTTAGGGACAAATGAATAGACCCACTAGTCCTTAATAAGTGTGTTGTAACAGGTGACTAATGAAAAATTTGCGGAAATAAGATGTTGTTGGATTAAAAGGTGCAGATGCATGTTGGCTGTAAACCCCAACATAACATGGCAACTGCCCATTTAAGGGTGAAAACAGAAGAGGAAGAATTGCTTCTTGTTGTTTCTCTCACTATTGTGTGTGTTTGTGTAGGTGTTTTTTTGGGTGGGGGAGGGGGGAATTAGAATTCTTTGTGCATGCTTGTTGTCTTTATTTCTTCACCAGCCTTCCTTCACCAGTTTCTTCACCATCATTTTTCATGCTTCTCTCGACCTCTCACCCATCCTTTCTTTCTGGGTCAAACTTAGCCTGACCATAACCTCTTGACCTCTTATCCTATCTTTCTGAATCAACTTTCCCTGAACATGACCTTTCATGGGTCAGATCTGTCTGGGTCACACTTACCCTGACCCTGACCTCTCACCCGTCCCATCTGTTTGGGTCAGATTTCCCCTGACTGTAATCTCTCAACTTTTCACCTATCCTTTCTTTCTGGATCAAACTTACCCTGACCCTCAACCTCTCAAACTGTCTTATCTTGTCGCATCAGACCCACTGTGACAATGACTCTCACCTATTCTTTTTTTTTTTCTAAATCAAACCTCCCTGACCATAACACACACTGCTGTCAGCCAGGTGGTCAGAAGTTTGAATCCCCCTTGAGACAGAACCTAACAGTGTGGATCAGGAAATCTTCTTCTTCTTTCTTCTTCGCGTTCACCAGCTGTACACTCTGGTGGAAAGTTCTGGTTGCTCGTCCATTACTGAACTGCAGTCCTGCTCCAGAACCTGAGTGTTGCATGTGCATCAGTTTTACAGATCTCATTCTCTTGAATACAGACTGTTGGTTCCTTGCCTCTCCGGCAGATGCACTCCGACTTCAAAGGAAGCTCCCCAATTAGTCGACTCTTACGACATGCTTTTGGGGAGGCAGTGGGTCTATTCTTGTTTTCCCCACAATGGTGCCCCGGAACCCACACGGGGGGATCAGGAAATGTTTTGAATTGTAATGGCAGCCAGTGGGATACCGAAGACATCAAATATGTGATTATCTACTTATAGCCCGTACAGATCCAACTACTGGCCCCATTTTGGGATGTACTGTAACTGCACAGGGCTGAGGTGATCTCTTGCTTGTGAGGCGCAGTAACAAAGACAATATTGAAAACCCACTCCTCGAGAGAACGATGCAGCGGGGGTGTCTCTGGGCTCTGAGCACCACTCAAGACTCGTGGGGGGAGGGGGGAGAGGCAAGATGAGAAGTTAACCAGATTTCAATGGGTACTGTCAGTATGAAAATTCTCCGCTGGCTGTTCAGGAGGTTGACGATGCTAAGATGGGCTTGTCCTGAATTCTGTGATTATAAAGGTGAGGTCTTACATGGTACAGATGAATACATACTTCTTCTTCGGCAGTTTACATCAGCCATGCTAAACATTCAATCCCTTTTGAATAACAAATAGGGTGCTGCACCTAAGGTTGCCACAGTTTCCCCCAGCTTCTCTTGTAGAAAGCTCCCTTGGGCCTGATCCCCAACTGTTGCTTGGGTGAGGGCAGTCCTGCAGTAAATGCTCAGGAGCTGCCTGCCTGCTTTTCCTGCTGTGCATTCCCAGGTGGCAGATTCTTTCATGCTCATTTTCTGTAGTTGTGCTCTTCTTCTTCTTCTTCTTCTTCTTCTCTTCTTCTTCTTCTTCTTCTTCTTCCTCCTCCTCTTGCTCTTCTTTCTTCTTCTTCTTCTTCTTCTTCTTTCTTCTTCTTCTTCTTCCTTCTTCTTCTTCTTCTTTCTTCTTCTTTCTTCTTCTTCTTCTCTTCTTCTTCTTCTTCTTCTTCTTCTTCTTCTTCTTCTTCTTCTTTTTCTTCTTCTTCCTCCTCTTGCTCTTCTTTTTCTTCTTCTTCTTCTTCTTTAGCTCTATATAACTTTGGGAATATATGAATAAACTGTAGATATGCTCTTAGACACCCCCACTGATGAGTTCTTATGATAAAATTGATAGTTTGAAGTTCCCCTTTCATCTCCATATAACTTTGAGTATAGACAAATAAACTGAAGATGTACTCTTAGACTGCATTGTCCTGTCAAAAGCCTTGAAAATGTTGTTTGTCCTTTCTTGTTTGTTTATGCCAGCATTGTCCTGTCAAAAGCCTTGAAAATGTTGTTTGTCCTTTCTTGTTTGTTTATGCCAGCATTGTCTGGTTGGTAGTCATATTTTGAATGTTGCTATCAAACATGTAAATGTAATCGCTACATGATTTTCCATTCCACAGGTACACTTAATGTCAAGGGTTCGAGTCCTTATGTCCCTTCATTCCGCCAGCCTCCGCCAGCTCATCAGCCACTACTAGCACATTTCAACACTGGCTCACATATCGTACGAACAGGTATGTCCTCGCCTGACGTGTTTTAGAGTCTTTTTGCCTTAAGAGTGATTTTTGTTAATTCTGATCATTCAGAAGTTTTCTGTGTTTTTAATTCTCATGATTTTTGTAGTATTTTTTTTATTCTCATATTTTATTTTTTTTTCAAATTTATTTCTCAATTCAGAAGTGTTTCTTCTTCTTTCTTTCTTTTTTTCTTTCTTTCTTTATTTATTTATTTCTGAAAGATTTGGGAAGTATTTATTTTTAATCTCAGCCCCCTCCCCCCAAGATTTTGAAAACATTTTTGATTTTAAAAATTTTTTTAATAACTTTCAGGAGTTCAGAAGTGTTTTTATTGTCAAGATTAAAGAAGTGTTTTTCTTTATACTTATGAATTCAGAAGAGTTTTTGTATTGACAAAATTTAGTATGTTTTTTTTTTTTTAAATCTTAAGTATTCAGAAATGTATGTTTTTTTTTGTGTTTTTTTATTCTCCTGGTTTGGTTTTGTCTGTAGATCACTTCGACAGTAGCTCAAGAGTAACGCCACTAGGGGTTATCCAACGAAACATTGAACCTTCCAGCTACCACAGCAGCAGCAGCAGCAGCAACAACCACATCAGCAGCATTTCTCCAAGTTCATCATCATCCTCCTTCAGTCACCCACCTACCACTTATGAAGATAAATCAAAGGCTAAAAAAGGTCAGCCAGAAAATGTGTAAAATGTGTGTAATCCTTGTCAGGTTTAAGTACTCGAGTACTCTGATAACAGATAATATTTAAGAAGTTCTGTTTTAATTTGATTCAGGAACCGACATCACAGCAATGGGGGCATTCCCATAAGCGCTCCGTCCCCATCTTCAGCAGCCAGCAAAGAGTTCCGATACTAATGGTGCCAGTAGCTTTCTGATTAAACGTCCGTCTTGCTTTTCCTCTGAGCCTCGAGCATCTGTCAGAACCTCTGGTCACCCCCAACTGCATCAGTCTCACCAGACTGTGGTGATCCATCTGCTCCTCCGAGCTGTGCACACTCTCCCACAAGGCACTAACCACATCTGCTTTATCATGTATCAGTATTCCACCAAGTTGTGCAGAGCCAGCCAATCTATCTGTCTGTTCATTTCTCAACACACCAGCGTCTCCCGGTGAAAAAATCCAGACAATACTCCCTACCCGTTTTATGCTCAATCAACGGCATTGTTTTACAAAATGAAGAATGTCTATGTGGTCTTTCTTTGACAATAAAAAGTGTTTAGAAATATGCAACAAATATCTTTGACAGTGAGATAAATGTTGATGCCCAAAACATGTAAATAAATTTCATTGACAAAGAGACAAATGCAGCGAATATCGTTGGTGGAAAGAAAAAAAAAAATGAAGGAAGCAGTCTTTCGAAAAACATATAAAAACCATAACTGATTCTAGAAATTAGAATTTCACAGTCAACAATGCAAGAGGATTTGTTTCAGCGCATTAGATGTTTGATCGCATGGGTTTGGTTTGTCTGTGCAGAGAAGCTGGTCAAAGCCACCACAACCCCGGCTTACAGTACAAGAGAGAAGTTTCTAGACACTAGAAAGTGTTCCAGGTCAGGTGTGGGTTCTGGGGCTCTGTTTGGGAGACCAAAGAATCGACGCACCGCCCCCTAAAACAAACATGTCATTGGAGGTGAGAGAGAGGTCTTCAGACTAATACACCAGATCTGTCAAATGGATGAGCATGCAAAACGCATCAAGAATCAAGACCAAAGTCCAGGTGTGGACAAACAGCCCGAAATTTCTACCAGAGTTTACAGCCATTGAACGCTAAGGAGAAGACTAGAAATGTCATGTCTTCTTCTGCCTTTCTATCCCCCAATGGAGCATAGGCCCTCAACCAGCTCACGCCAAGTCGTTCTATCCTTCGCCATTACATGGAGCTCTCCCCATGTCCTCCCCATCTTTCTAACCTCATTCTCCAGCTCTCTTCTCCGTATGTTTTTTGACCTTCCTTTATTCCTATGCCGCTGTGGGTTCCAATGCTGCCATAGACATATTTATTTCTGTCACTTGGTAAAGCACATTGGGTTGGAAGAGGCAGGATCACTAACGTCTGACGGCAAGGGATTTGAAGGGGATTCTTTTGTTCTTGTAAAGTTGTACAGTTTTCTTTTTCTTTGAAAAACAAAAATACATAACTGTAAAACAAGCAGGAATACTTAACAGCAAATGAAATATGTTGAATGTCAGACACACTATGTTTTACACATAATCCCAAAATCTTTTGAAATCCTATCTCATTTGTTAATGTCACAGACAAAGTAAAAAGGATACAGATGTTTTCATTTGCAGTCTTTTTTTTTTTTTTTTTCTAAATTATATTTAATAAATAATTTCCTTTGTTGTTTTGTCAAAATATTTCAGAGTGACAGTTCTTGAAAATATTTTAAAATTATGATTTAATTTAGTTAAGTAGTTTGGGGTTTTAAACAAGAAAAGTTTTCTTAATAGCAAACAAGCTGTAAAGTAAAGTCTGTCGGAAAGTTTTTGTTCGTCCACTTCTGGACCTTAGTCTTGTTCCAGAACTTGAATTTTACATTCACAACCGATTGATAGATCTGACTTACTCTGTGTAGATTTTTGGATCCTTTCCTCGCAGGCTGATGCATTCCAACTTTAAAGGAAAATCCCCTGATTAGTTGCCTCTTAAGACATGCTTGGGGGAGGGGGGAGGTTTCCAAATGTCCCCCCTTCCCCCCCTCTCCCAGGTGAGCACCAGAACCCACATAGGGATGTATGGGAAGTGAATTGGTTTAGTGTTGCATGTGGATTTGGGTTTTTCATCATTGATTATGTCAGTGTAGTGCAAGCCCATTGATTCGTGAGTCCACTGGGTGTCCGGTGATCTCAGTCAATATTTTGGCTCTGTGTTGACTTGAGACAGGAGATGTCAATGCAGCTTTGAGTCAGTATTGTGATTCTGTGTTGATTTAGGCTGGAGTGACCAGTGGGTTCGCGAGGTGTCAACTATCTGGGGGTAAATTGTCATACCTACTTCGTGTTGAGTGAGATTAGGCGCAAGAGGTAGGCGGGAAAGAAAGGGAGAATCATGCATGACTATAAGCGTCTTGAGTTGCACGGAGAGCTCACAGGGCACACATGTGTATATACTGGGGTTGAGTTTAGTTGAGCAGAGGACAGACTAAAGAATGGTCATGAACACTCGAGAGTCCAGTTAAGAGTCCAATCGAGGGACTAGTCAAGAGTGCAGTCGAGGGACTAGTCGAGAGTCCAGTCGAGGCACTAGTCGAGAGTGCATTCGAGAGACTAGCCGAGAGTGCAGTCAAGGGACTAGTCAAAAGTCCAGTCGAGGGACTAGTTGAGAATCCAGTCGAGGGACTAGTCGAAAGTGTAGAGTCAAGAGTGCAGTTGAGGAAAGAGAAGTCCATTTGGCAGAGTTGAGCCAATGAAAGATGGACGTTTTCTGTGATGAAAACTTGTCTTGGGTGATGACGCATGTGGCAGTCGTGATCACTATTGAAACAAGACAGCAGTTCTATGTATGAGGAAGACCCTCGTAGATGTCGGCAAATTCTATGTGCTGAGAGGACTCCGAGTTAGGAGTCTGCCGGTCATGGTAGATTTACTTTACCAGGCTGAGGTGCTGTATACACATTATGGAGCTTAAAAATTGTGAAGTTTCCAGTCAGTCGATGTGAAGTGTCTGCTACGAGTATAGCAATGGAGGTCAAGTTGAGTAAGCTAGATGGAGCCTGTTCACCATCCTTACTGCTAACCCTGATGTGAGGGTAGCTAGCGACCTGGGCACTGAAGTGGTGAGCTCAAGAGTTGTAGTGACAGCTTGTGTAGTCTGTCTGATGGAGCGCTGCTGAAACTGAGACGTGTATGATGCTTGGCGTTCATTATTGTCTGTACGGGTGTGTGTACCTGAACGTTCTTGTGAAATAAATGTGTGGCCGCACGCCATCGTTTGAGTTTTCCTGACTGTGTGCAAGTTGCAGTGTTCAAGCGAAGATCATATCCTAGACAATAACTTGTCTACATGTTGGTATGCTGCCAGTATTCAGCATCCAATAATTAGTTTAAAATTATGGTATAGCTACAGAGGTGTAGTTTGTTTAATAAAAATACATCTCTCTGACTACAACATCTTTCCCTGTCTGTGTATATAAGAAAACATCTTTTTGACTGCAAACTCCCTGTCTGTTTAATAATAAATCTTTCTTACTGCAGTATCAGATTAATAAGAATACATCTTTCTGACTGCAGCATCTCTGTCAGTTTAATAAGAATACATCTTTCTGACTGCAGCATCTCTGTCAGTTTAATAAGAATACGTCTTTCTGACTGCAGCATCTTTATCAGTTTAATAAGAATACATCTTTCTGACTGCAGCATCTCTATCAGATTAATAAGAATACATCTTTATGACTGCAGCATCTCTATCATTTTAATAAGAATACATCATTATGACTGCAGCATCTCTATCAGTTTAATGAGAATACTTCTCTGAATGCACTATATCAGTTTAATGAGAATACATCTTTCTGACCGCAACATCTCTGTTTATTTGATATCTCTGCCACTGCAACATCCCAATCTATTTGATAACATGACATCTCTATAGCTGCAACATCCCAGACCATTTGATAACATGACATCTCTCCAGCTGCAACATCCCAGCTCATTTGATAACATGACATCTCTACAGCTACAACACCTCAGGCCATTTGATAAGAAATCTCTTTGACTGCACATCTTAGATTGCACTGCCACTGTCTGTTCGATAATAAGGCATCTCTGCAACTGCAGCATCCTTGCTCATTTGATAACAAAACATCCTGGCCCTTGTGATAAGGAACATCCTGGCCAATGTGATAAGGAGACATCTTTCCAACCGGACCATCTTTGCCAGTTTGTTAAGAAGGCACAAATCTGGTTATAAACCTGACCAAATCAAGGCAGCATGTTCTAGTGCGTACATTGCCAGGAGTGGATTATCTTTTATGGGAAAATTAATAATGTAAGGGGCTGTATACTTGTGATGTTTGAGGCTTAGAGACTGTCACTGCCGGTTTCTGTTAGGCAGCAAGATTTATTGCTCTTTGTAGGCTGCGTGAATTCACTGGCAATTTATGTGCAGTGTTTTTAAATTGTAGATAATTGTCATAATTCGTAATGTCAACTTGGCACGTTTGTAATGTTCGCTGTCAGTATGAAAAAGTGCATATGTGTGTCTCTCTCTCTGCAAATATACAAATGTGTGTGTGTGTGTGTGTGTGTGTGTGTGTGTGTATATATGTATATATATATATATATATATATATATATATATATATATATATATATATATATATATATATATATATATATATATATATATATATATATATATATATATATATATATATATATATATATATAGAATTTGTGTGTGTGTGTGTCAGTGGGTTGTATGCCTACGTATGTGTATAGTTAGGAAATAAAACTGGTGCTTTGTAATTTGAGAAAGAGGCCGTTAAAATCTGAGGCGGGATTCCTTGCTGAATCCTCCTAGTGCAGGTTTCCCTTGTTTATTTGTCATTCAAAGATTGTTTTCATTGGCTGCCACTGGGTCGTCATGCTTGTCAAGGGGGCCAGATTGCCCATGATAGGCAGTCGTCTTTATCTTGACATTTGAGGGATTGTTGTCCTTCCACAAAACCACTGAACTCTTTGAGTCCTGGCAGATGCAGAGGTTAGAGACCTGTCTGCTGACTGTAATGTACTGTAAACTTTTGGGTAGCAGCCCAAAGGGGACAAACTAATCGATTGATTGAAACGTGTGCAAGAAAATATCGGGGGGGGGGGGGGGGGGGGAATTTTTTTCTTCACAACAGAAATTTGCCACTTCTGAGATTGCCTTGAGTGGTCTGCACAGTATTTCTTTAACCTGCTCTGTTCTTAGAAGTTGTTACTTTAAGTATTTTGGCCTCAGTGGGTTAAATAATAACATGATGAGTTAAGTGTTAACTCATTCTGTCCCAACCAGCGTACAATGTTTGACCGGCCAGAATCAGTGTGTATTAAACAACAATCAGTCTGTAATTATATATTTTACATTTGGTTTGAGCAAGCTAAAGAAATCTGGCTAGATATGCTGACAGAGCATATTAAATATTATTTCTTTGAAAGTAATACACTCATTATTTGTTCATTGTGTCTGTTATCTAGAGTATTTAAAACAAAATCTCCTACTGAAAGTGTGAATTTGATGTGTAGCCTCGCAGTCTATTCATCCATTCCGTTCCGTCCTTCGCAGCCTTTTTCAGTATCCTAGTTATAATCCAGCCCTGCTCCCTTGGCCTTCCTCATCAACGTTTTTTGTTTTTTTTTTTATATTCATAATATGCATATTATCATATGAATATAACATGCTTATTTATAATTTTTTTAAAACTGCAGCGTGAAAAACGTGTGTTTGGAAATGCTGAATGTAAGACGGGCCTGCGAGCCAAATTAGTGACCCTTTGAAAATAAAGTTTGTTCATTCGTTTGTTTGTTCTTTCATCTTGCGGTTTTCATTAGACCGACGTACATTCAACCCCACCAGGACTGTACGATGAGCGATTAACACTCGGTGACACAAAGTGCCACCATTCGGATGAGCATCATCCGGGCACAAGTCCCACAAAACCCGTTCAGCCTTTGGACTATATTTGGGCCCCCAATGACAAAAGCCAGGGTGGGGTTTTGAAATAACAAAAAAATTGCGTCCCACATTTGGGTGGATTTAGTTAATTAGTGATTCATCATGATGTGCCCGATGTGTTGCCACCTACGTTGTATATGTGAATAACACTACATGAATGTCTCTTCCGTAGGTCGGAAACCCAAATACTCTGACTACCCTTATACTTCCCCACCAAAGAGGAAACGAGAAGGTAAATGTCTGACTCTCCTCCAAAGAAGTCGGATTTTTTCTGCGTCTTTCTTCTGCTTCTTCTTGCCCTATTTGTGACCCATTGAAAATAAACTTTATTTGCACTTTCTTTCATTAGTTCTTCTTTCTTCTTCTTTTTTCTTCTTCTTTTTCGCACTTTCTTTCATTAGTTCTTCTTTCTTCTTCTTTTTTCTTCTTCTTTTTCTTCTTCTTCTTCTTCTTCATCTTCTTCTTCTTCTTCTTCTTCTTCTTCTTCTTCTTCTTCTTCTTCTTCTTCTTCTTCTTCTTCTTCTTCTTCTTCTTCTTCTTCTTCTTCTTCTTCTTCTTCTTCTTCTTCTTCTTCTTCTTCTAATTCTTATTCTTCTCCTTCTCCTCTTCCTCCTCCTCCTCCTCCTGCTTCTTCTTCTTCTCCTTTTCTTCCTTCTTCTTCTTCTTTTTCTTCTTTTTCTTTATCTTCTTCTTCTTCTTCTTTTTCTAATTCCTATTCTTCTCCTTCTCCTCTTCCTCCTCCTCCTCCTGCTTCTTCTTCTTCTCCTTCTTCTTCTTCTTCTTCTTTTTTCCTTCTCCTTTGCTTCTTTATCTTTTCTTTCTTCTTATTTTATTTGTTCGCTGTTATTCTAATAATGTCAACGCAAGAAGATCTAGGCTTTCTAATGCACTCACAGAAGTTCCCAAATAACTTTGTGTAGTTACATTGTATAGGTCAGCGTGACCCACTTCAGTGCAAATTAATGACTGCTCAGTTATGTTTCCTGCTCTGACGTGGAATGGAATCACTTTTGTTTTGTTTCATCAAGATAGCTTTAGTTATCTGTTTTAAAACAACCAAAGGGACCTTTTTTCATCCCCCTCAGGCATATTGGAAGTGTAGGGCCAGACCTGTAGACCAGGTAGCACTCAGCGGGCGATGTCATCAACATCATCCCGGCTGCCTTTACTTCCCAACACTTAACCTTGGAGCCAAAGTCATTTTTAAAAAAATATTAAAGTCCAGGTTTTTTGAGACGTGAACCCACAATCTTCGGATTTGCAGGGGAATTGCTAACATAAAATACGGGCATGGAAGATTGCTACAGAAACCAGTATCTTTGGGAGTTTTTGCTTGATTATATTGCCTGTTTTATTCCAGGCAATGCACACAGATCTCTTTGGGAGTTTTTGCTTGATTATATTGCCTGTTTTATTCCAGGCAATGCACAGTATCTCTGGGAGTTTTTGCTTGATTATATTGCCTGTTTTGTTCCAGGCAATGCACAGTATCTCTGGGAGTTTTTGCTTGATTATATTGCCTGTTTTATTCCAGGCAATGCACAGTATCTCTGGGAGTTTTTGCTTGATTATATTACCTGTTTTATTCCAGGCAATGCACAGTCTCTCTGGGAGTTTTTGCTTGATTATATTGCCTGTTTTGTTCCAGGCAATGCACAGTATCTCTGGGAGTTTTTGCTTGATTATATTACCTGTTTTATTCCAGGCAATGCACAGTATCTCTGGGAGTTTTTGCTTGATTATATTACCTGTTTTATTCCAGGCAATGCACAGTATCTCTGGGAGTTTTTGCTTGATTATATTGCCTGTTTTGTTCCAGGCAATGCACAGTATCTCTGGGAGTTTTTGCTTCAGCTGCTGCAGAATCAGGAGACCTGCCCCCACTACATCAAGTGGACCAACAGGGAGAAAGGCATCTTCAAGCTGGTTGACTCCAAGGCCGTGTCTCGGCTGTGGGGGCAGCACAAAAACAAACCTGACATGAATTACGAGACGATGGGCCGAGCTTTGAGGTAAGTCAGGCCGCTGTGTACCTGTACTTGTGGTGACATTGGCATATCTGTCAGCAGACACAGGCTGGCCTTTACAATAATATACCATGGTTGAGCTACTGGGTTCTTTATATGAACAATCTGCAAATCACCGCAGGCAGGATAGTTTTTCTGACTGACTCACTGTCAGCTATACAGGCCCTAGAGTCCAAACCTACCGACAGCACATTACAAAGTCTAACACAGGAACTTGCTATGTTGTCAAATAAGGCAGAAATTCACTTGCAGTGGATTCCGTCTCACTGTGGCATCAAAGGCAATGAAAGCACAGATGCTTTAGCCAAGGAAGGCAGTAACAAACCACAGACCTACCAGCCACTAACTTTTCTAGAAGTCAAAACTCTCATTAAGAGAAAATCAGAAACAGATTGGAAAACCAACACTGGTTATAACTACGGAAAAGATTTTCTGAAACACTTGAACAGTACAGACCAAGTCACAGTTTTTCGCTTACGCAGTGGACACTGCAGACTCAATAAACACTCATATAAATTAGGTATGAGCCAAACAGCTCTCTGCCAGTGCCTTCGTGCTGAACAGACTCCAGAACATGTCCTGCAAGACTGTCCTCTCCTGGCGGAGCTGCGGAGCGACATATGGCAACACCCAGTAGAACTGACAACTAAGCTTTGGGGAAACCTAAGAGACCTTGAAAAGACATCCCAGTTTATGACCCACAGTGGATTATGCGCATGACCAGAGATCGCTGAAGAAGAAGAGCTACTGGGTACTTATATATATATATATATATATATATATGAAATCGAGCTATATCCAGAGGGTGTGTTGTAAATATATATAAGTATACTTTAAGTAAGGGGTGTTTTTGTAAATGTAACACAGAACCCAATAGCAGATACTCTCTTAGAGGTTTTTCCTTCTTCTTCTTCTTCGCCGTCTTCTTCTGCCTTTCTAACCCCCAATGGAGCAAAGGCCCTCAACCAACTCCCGCCAAGTCATTCTTTCCTTCGCTATCGCGGGCAGCTCTTCTCATGTCCTACACATTTGTTCAACTTCACTCTCTGGCTCCCTTCTCCATGTGTTTTTCTTTTCTGTGCTTTCACTGGCTGTAAACTGTGACAGAAAGTTCTGGTTGTTCAGCCACCTCTGGACTTTAGTCTTGTTCTAGAACCTGAGTGTTGTGTGCACATCTGTTTTACAGATCTGACTTATTTGAATGCAGATTGTTGGTTATTTGCCTCTGAAGCAGACATACTCTGATTTTGAAGGAAGCCCCCAGTTAGTCGACTCTTATGACATGCTTGTTGGGAAGGCAGAGGGCCTGTTCTTCCCCCCCCCCCTCCCCCACACAATGGGGTCACAGACCCCACAAGGGGACCTGGTGGTATGAAATAAATGTTAAGTCTTCTTCTTTGTTTTCGACTGCTTCCTCTCCTCCTTCTCCTGCTTTATCTTCTAAGTAGGTTAGACTTATAATTTTATAGACAGTGAGCCCTCGATGAGTGACCTCTCGATGAGTGACCTCTTGATGAGTGACCTCTTGATGAGTGACCTCTTGATGAGTGACCTGCTCAACTAGGTGCTGAGAATCAACAGGCAGGCACTCAGATTGGAAATAGAGGGAATGAGAAAGTCAAAAGAAGCCCTAAAATGAGCAGTGATGAGAGAGGCCAAAGCTACCTGACTGGATTTGCACAGTCCCAGTGTGGGTTCTGGGGCCCTGTTGTGGGGAAAACAAGAATAGACCCACTGCTTCCCCCGAAACCTGTCGAAGGAGTCTACTCATTGGAAGCTTCTTTCGAAGTCTGGGTGCATCTATCCGAGCGACAAGGAGCATCCAACTTCACACAAATAAGTCAGTAAAACAGATGTACACACAAAACTGAGGCCCTGGCACACAGGCAAAGTCCAAATGGATGAACAACTAGGACATTTCGCTGCAGCTTACAACAAAGAAGAAGAAGAAGAAGAGAGGATTGCACAAGGTAGAACGGATTGGAGGATTGTGAGCCCTATGTGACATAAAATGGAACAACAGGATAGTGATGATGATGATTTTCCACTTCTTCATCTTCCCCCAGCTCCAGTTGTTGGTCCACTTCTGGACTTGGTCTTGTTCCTGAACTGGAGTTTTATGTGCACAGCTGTTTTACAGATCTGGCTTATTTGTACGCACATTGCTAGTTCCTATCCCCTCAGGCAGATGCACTTCAACTTCAAAGGAAACACCCCTAATTAGTTGTTTTACGACATGCTTGTTGGGGGGGGGGGGGTGGATCTGTTCTTCTCCTTTCCGCCCCCCCCCCCACCCCAATCACAGTGAGACCCCAGAACCCACACAGGGATGATGATATATGTAAACTGTATTGTTTGGGGGGGGGGGGGGGTGGGATCTATTCTTCTCCCCTGCCAATCCACTCACACTGGGATCCCAGAACCCCCACAGGGATGATGATGATGATATATGTATACTGTATTGTGTGGAGGGTGGGGGGGTGGATCTATTCTTCTCCCCTGTCCCTCCACTCACACTGGGACCCCAGAACCCACCCAGGAATGATGACGATGATGATATATGTATACCGTATTATGTGGTACCACGTTACCCTCATATTTCCATTGTCTCTGCAGGTATTATTATGCAAGGGGAATCCTCAACAAAGTCGATGGCCAGAGATTAGTGTACCAGTTTGCTGATGTGCCTAAGAACATTGTAGAAATTGACTGTTCAAACGTCTAGCCCACATTGCTGCTTGTTTTTGCTGGAGGAGAAGAAAATGAAATCAATAAGCTGTGATTATTCTAAGATATAATAGTTTTCTATTTGTTCATGGCTTTTTATTTGCTGGACAAAGAAGGTGCCAGTACTCACCACAGAAACAACTGTGAATTACTGCCTTATTGTATTACTTTCACGGCGTAGGCATGGGGGTCTTGGAGCCTGCGGATTTACGGCCGAATGGCTAGTGCTGTTGCCACAACTGTGCAGGTGAGGATTTTATTTTGCCCCCGACAGAAACAAAAATTTTCAGCCTTACGGAGAATTCCTGCTTTGAGAGCCCAGCTTTCTAACCATTTGGCCAGCCGCTCCTTTCTCACCTCAAAACAAAATGTTTATTAGAATTGCACTGGGGGGGGGGGGGTGGGGGGGGGGGGGGGATGCTGAAAAAAGAGCCAGTGCTGAGAACCATCAGAAAAATTAACTCTTTGAGTCCCAGAGGGTTTAGCATCACAGGCCCAAGGGGTATTGAAGAGAGATAAAATCGGCGCATCATGCGTTCTTGGGGCTTCTAGGTTGAAACCTGTGAACGTATGATGCGTTCCTTGGGACTCAAAGAGTTCATCTCTGCCTGGGCTAGGCTTTTGCGAAACTCCTGGGAAAATCTTCAGATAGGAAATGATGTTAAGATAGTATGTTCATGTCACTGGCTAGAGACTAGGTGATTTTCATTATGAATGACCTATCAGTTGTGTGTGTTCAACATTTAGGTCATTGGTTCTGCTGTATTTCCAGGTGTTATCTAGGTTGAAGCCTGTCCCCTTAACCCCCCTTCCCTGTGTTTGGGTTCTGGGGCCCCATTTTATGAGGAAAAAGAATAGACCCACTGCCCCCTGACAAGCGTATCGTAAAAGCCAACTAATTAAGAGTGTTTGCCAATATCAGATGTGGCAGGCCTGAAAGGCGCAGATATCACAGCCTGGCTGTAAACCACAGCATAACGAGCCCTATTAAGGTTGAATATAGCAGCAGAAGTTGTTTTCACCAGGTCTGGAATTTAGGTCGCTGATGAATTAAGCGTTTTCTTGAAGTAGGTTTAACTTCTGATGATCTGCAGTTGTTATTTTAGCACCAGGATTTTATGTTTGTATATAAGACACTCTGCCGAGCTTTGTTACAATATGTCATGACAAATTCCTCTAGAATGTAATGTTTGTATATAAAACAGACACTTCCAGAAATTGATGTTTGTAAATAAGACGAATACCTCCTAGACTTGAAGTTTGTACAGAAGACAAACAAAATATACCATGTGCCATCTTAGAAGTTTATTCTTGTATGTATTTTTAATTTCTGTCACAGAAGTAGGTTGCCAGTGTGTATATCAGTGCCTTTCAAAATTGAAGAGCCCGGTTGTATTTTGGCAGCCTCTACTTTACTGAACAGACTATTGTAAATACTTTTTTTTTTTTTTTAAACCTGATATGTAATATTTATTTGTAACCACTGTATTTTTCTGTGAAGACCATCCATCTTTCATTCTGCTGCCTTTTTTTTTTTTACTCCACCATAAAGAAGCATGTGCCAACAGCTAATTCTTCTTCTTCTTTGTTGACTGGCTGCAAGCTTCGCCCGAAAGTCCTAGTTGTGCGCTTTTTGGACTTTGGCTTTGTGCCAGAGCTGAGTTATGCCTGCACATCCATTTTACTAGCTTTCTTGTGTGTAGCTGGTTGTTCCTTGCCGCTCTGGCAAATGCACTCCGACTTTGAAGGAAGCCCCCATTAAAGGCGGTGGGTCATTTCTTGTTTTCCCCACTGAAGGAAGCCCCCATTAAAGGCGGTGGGTCATTTCTTGTTTTCCCCACTGAAGGAAGCCCCCATTAAAGGCATTGGGTCATTTCTTGTTTTCCCCACTGAAGGAAGCCCCCCATTAAAGGCAGTGGGTCATTTCTTGTTTTCCCCAATGAAGGAAGCCCCCATTAAAGGCAGTGGGTCATTTCTTGTTTTCCCCATTGAAGGAAGCCATCATTACAGGCAGTGGGTCATTTCTTGTTTTCCCCATTGAAGGAAGCCCCCATTAAAGGTGGTGGGTCATCTCTTGTTTTCCCCACTGAAGGAAGCCCCCATTAAAGGCGGTGGGTCATTTCTTGTTTTCCCCACTGAAGGAAGCCCCCATTAAAGGCATTGGGTCATTTCTTGTTTTCCCCACTGAAGGAAGCCCCCCATTAAAGGCAGTGGGTCATTTCTTGTTTTCCCCAATGAAGGAAGCCCCCATTAAAGGCAGTGGGTCATTTCTTGTTTTCCCCATTGAAGGAAGCCATCATTACAGGCAGTGGGTCATTTCTTGTTTTCCCCATTGAAGGAAGCCCCCATTAAAGGTGGTGGGTCATTTCTTGTTTCCCCCACAATGTGGCCTCGATAACCCATACAGGGACATCAACTAAGCCTTTCTGTCCTTTTTTTTATCTGTTTCATGTTTTTAACTCTTTGGTACCCAACAGTTGTTACTTAAGTTTCTAGCTAACCACAAGGAGTCAAGCTTAAAAGTAATAAGTACTTAGGTTTGCAGAAGTTCATCAGAGATACAGTGGGTTAAACTAATCATCCAAATACATTTAGTTGTGTATCTTTTACAGGATGTTGCAGAACCAACCCCAGCATTTTATTGCTGTTTGATTTTACTAGACAATTTTATGTTCACTAATTTGCCATTGCTTCTGAATGGTGGCTTTCGATGTCTGTTGAAATCAATGCAAGGTGGTCTGCTTCTAAATAACCTGCAGCTGGAATCGAACAGGGTATCTTGGAATTACAAAGCGCACCACAACAGACACCCAAATACAGTCAGTATACCATTCATATCTATCTGATGACAGCAAGGACATTACATTATTATTAGGAACTCTTTGCGAGTTGTTTGGTATCAAAAGAGTTCATTAATCATCCTTTTCGTTTTTTACATCCTTCTATTTACTTAGAAAACTCAGAAAATGCTCCATCTTCTTTCCACTGAAACTCAGAAAAGGCTCCATCTCCATAGGGTTAACAAAATTCTCAGTATGTATTCTCTACATTGCCAGCTGTTGAAACTAGTTCCTGATCACCAGTTATTATACCTGCAATTTAAATAAGAATATATACATATATGTGCGTTACCTGTTATTGTAAGTGGGAAATTATTTCTTGTGTGATACTGAATATATATCATGTCACTGTGTACTTGTTTCTTTCTTATGTTGAGGGCACAAATTATGTGTAATCTTGGTTATCTAGGCCTCCAATCTGACAGCCGTTTGGGTCCATAATTTGCAGAAACAAAAAGAGCCCAGAATTGTTTATTCAAAATATCAAGTTTAGTAGTTTTTGACTTTTTTTTCATGTTCTGTAATATTTTCCTCACCTTTTCTGTGTGTGTGTTTTTTACAGATGAGTTTTATGGTCAGCTTAACTTAATAGTTGTAAGGTGCCAGTTTGAATTAAGTTTGTAACTGTATACCAGAGCTTTTGTCTGTTATTATTTGTTCTGAGTTTTTGTTTTGTTTTTTTCTGGTTTGCTTCCTGATTATTTGCTCATCAAATCTAACCTGGCATAGGTGTTCATGTCAGTCTGGAACTGTTTCTTTTATCTTTTTTTTTAAATGCTGTTGTAATTTTCAGTTTTTGTTTGCTGTTGTTATTTTCATATTGAGCATTAACTGTTTAGTTAACAGAGTTTATAGATGATGCTGCTCAAAACCAGTATACTGCTTCCACAGGTCTTACGTATGCATGTCTTGTAAGAAACAAAGATGCCAGATTTCTTTAATATATTTTGACCAAAAGTAGGATGAACAGTCATACTTAGTGCTGTGATGTAATATCCATTCACATTGTTCATATGGGGGCTAAATAAGTGGTTGTTTACATAGGGGCTAAATAAGTGGTTGTTCACACGTTGGCTAAATAAGCGGTTGTTCACACGTGGGCTAAATAAGTGGTTGTTCACACGGGGGCTAAATAAGTGGTTGTTCACAGTGGGGCTAAATAAGTGGTTGTTCACACGGGGGCTAAATAAGTAGTTGTTCACACGGGGGCTAAATAAGTGGTTGTTCACACATGGGCTAAAGAAGTGGTTGTTCACAGTGGGGCTAAATAAGTGGTTGTTCACACATGGGCTAAATAAGTGGTTGTTCACATGGGGGCTAAATAAGTGGTTGTTCATATGGGGGCTAAATAAGTGGTTGTTTACATGGGGGCTAAATAAGTGGTTGTTCACACATGGGTAAATAAGTGGTTGTTCACATGGGGGCTAAATAAGTGGTTGTTCACACGGGGGCTAAATAAGTGGTTGTTCACACATGGGCTAAATAAGTGGTTGTTCACATGGGGGCTAAATAAGTGGTTGTTCATATGGGGGCTAAATAAGTGGTTGTTTACATGGGGGTTAAATAAGTGGTTGTTCACACGTTGGCTAAATAAGCGGTTGTTCACACGGGGGCTAAATAAGTGGTTGTTCACAGTGGGGCTAAATAAGTGGTTGTTCACACTGGGGCTAAACGTGCATGCCTCCTAGGAAACAGAGATGTCAGCCCAGCTGGTAGTAGGCAACCAGCAGTCCCTAGAGATCACAGAGTTGTGCCAGTGGTTTTGGGAACTAAAATCCAGTGTCCCTAGCGATCATGGAGTTGTGCCAGTGGTTTTGAGAACTAAAATCCAGTGTCCCTAGCGATCATGGAGTTGTGCCAGTGGTTTTGGGAACTAAAATCCAGTGTCCCTAGCGATCATGGAGTTGTGCCAGTGGTTTTGGGAACTAAAATCCAGTGTTTCTAGGGATCATGGAGTTGTGCCAGTGGTTTTGGGAACTAAAATCTAGTGTCCCTAGGGATCATGGAGTTGTGCCAGTGGTTTTGGGAACTAAAATCCAGTGTCCCTAGGGATCATGGAGTTGTGCCAGTGGTTTTGGGAACTAAAATCCAGTGTCCCTAGCGATCATGGAGTTGTGCCAGTGGTTTTGGGAACTAAAATCCAGTGTTTCTAGTTATC